GAGATGTGAATAACAGATACAGGATCTGTCCCTTCTACTGTATAGAAGTATAATGTCAATGGGCCCACTGAATAGTAGGACTTGGGAAAGTGCATGGCCATGCCCAGATATGTCGCTATCTAGAGACTGATAAATATCTGATCCCTACCAGTCTACTTGAGATTCAGTAACAGCTGATTTAACTATACAAGGATACACATCCCATGCCTTGTGTTAAATCATGACATTTAGGACAGAAGGATAAAAGTTATAGAACGTCTTGTGTCGTAGAAGGTATTGATGAGATGAACGTCTTTTTCATAATCTGGGGGTAATAATGTGTTGCTAGATACCGCTTATTATCTATGGTATTAATTTATATTAATATCATTGCCAGTGTTATGGATACCTAAAGGGTCACACACTTAAGACTTGTAAGGGAGTAGTATACTACACTAGTGGGAGTAATATTAAATATATAGTTGTGATAATTTTATATATATATGTATTTCAAAAATACATATGTAATTTAAAATTATATTTTGTTTGTGTCATTTTAATTATATGATAATTATATTTTGACAAAACAAATTTTATATATATATATATATATATATATATATATATATATATGATATATATATATATAACGAATGACGTTTAGAGAGAAGGGAGACCGCGGCGATTATGGCGACCGACGGCGATTCTACCCAAATTCCAACCGGAGAGTTTCCTTTATGTACAAATCTGCCTCCCTCTTCCAACGAAGTCAGCGGGTTGATAAGCTCAACAACCATCCCGAATATCCTGTCGATCGGCGGCCTAAATACCCTAATTTGGGTCGGTTTGGAATTACAGATCCGGTAACTGGCGAGCTTCACTTGGAGAAGGAAGGAAAAATCAGTCATTCCAACGAGCCAGAGGTGGTGAACAAAAGAGAAATTGGCCTTTTAGATCCCCAGAAACTCTAAACTTGAAAAATTCATACGTCTACAGCAGTTCAAATTTTGTTGGTAAGACTGGTTCATCCATTTCTTTTCCGAGTAAAAACTCTAGGTTCAAGTTTCACATTGAATTCAAGGCATATGAACTTTTCTACTCTTTCTACAATCACAATATCTGCATAACTACACAAGGACGAAAAAATTTCCACATTTGGTTTGATTTGGACTCTGTACACTGGCTGGTAGAATCTATTCCCAGGCTGTCAAGTACGAAAACTCAAGGTTTGTATAAATTTGATGATTATAGAGCTCTCGAGATACGTCTTGAATCAAACAGAAGAGGGGAATTCATTCGTATTGCTGAGGATCGAAGGGAAGGTAATTCATTTCTATTGGTGCCGTATGGGGATAAAGGTGATGGTTTTAAGCTTTTCTATAAGGCCTTGAACTCCTTCCTTGAGAGGATCTCTTTCACTCATAAAGGTAAGGCCATCCTCAGTGAGGAACATCCACAACCCCCTTACATTCAGAATGATCCTCCTTTCCTTAAGTCAGGTGAACCTATAACAACCTCAACCTCTGTCTCTCCTGATGTGGCAGTCTTGGATTCAAAGGTGGATGAGGTGTTAGTAGCCTCAACACCTCTCCTGGAACTTGGTTCACCACCTCAACATTCGCAACTCCAATCGAGCACAGACGATAAGTCTGGAGGCAAAGGAGGGCTAGAAGACTTCTCCACAGCTCCTTTGATAGAAACCACACCAGCAAACACACAAATGACTATTTTTGAGGGAGGAAGACAACCAAAAGTCATCATTTCAGACACATACACTGAATTGTTTCCACCACTGCCAAGAAGGATGTTATCACCATTTGCCCCTGCATTTGTACCACTTTCAAACAACTCATTTGCTGCTCTGCTCAACCAGGATCATGGAGACCTTGAGGAAGAGGACCCTTTTTCAATGATTAATGAACGGAGCCTGGTTCTATACTCTAATGCAGTCGAAGACCATGAAAAGGAGAGGGATGGGCCCATTCTTTACACCCATTCAGAGGGGGAGGATTACGTATTCATTGATTCTAAGCTTAAACCACTTCAAATAGACCTTTCAAGATGCCCCAAACACCCCTTGCATCTGCATAAGGCAATAAAGGGCAGAAGGACATATTCTCCATCTCAAATGGTTACTAGAAGTAAAGCTAAATTACTAGAAGCGGGGAGAAGAAACACACCAATTGGCTGGGAAGAGGAAGATGAAATGCACTATCCACAGGAATCCCATGAAGACGAGGTCATCAAATTCTTCAAGCTTTGTTGTCCTAACAAAATTGATGAACCTAAACCTCCTAATAAGCCAATGAGCAAAAGTCAGAAAAAGAAATTAAAGAAGAAAAAGAACAAGCGGCAGGTTACTGATGGTTTTGAGGATGAGAACTATGATTTAGACTATGCTTATTGAGTAATGTTTTCTGTGCATCCGTGTTAAAATTTAGATCCTGTTTATTTTAGATCTATATATCTAGCTCTCTGATGGAATACTGGGACTTTGTGGACTGTTGACTCTGGTTTTGCTATGAGGGACTGCTGACTCTGTTTAAAATGAGTCTATTTACTGGGGTCGGTATTCAGCATGTTTAGGCTTATGAGCCAAGGGTTTTAGAAGTACTTCTGATTTAGGTTATGCTACTTATGGTGGAATTCTAGTGGTAGTCACTTTACTGCATCTTCAAAGTGTGGTGATTTAAATGAGAAGTGTCCCTGCTGTTTTGGTGTTCTGCCACAAGGGAGTTGGAACTGATGATGCTGGGTTTTCTGTATTCTATGCATTTAAACTACTGCCTTGCCACATATTGGTTGATTGATTCAGAGCAGCACCTCTACCGTTTGAAAATTCACAGATTTATAGTTTCACTTTGCTTTTAGGAGTCAAGGTAAAATCAGGTTGCCTGGCCGGATGCTATTTTTACCACTTTGCTCTCTTGGGAAAGCAAAATGCAGGATACGGTTGAAAGGTTTTGGTAGACTCCTTGGCAGGCTTCCTTGGACAGTCATGCTCTATCATTTACTACGTAGTTTGTTTTGTAAAGCAACTGTGTTGTATTGGGTTTTTGTTTTAGTTTGTTCGTCTCTTAGGCCGGTCTGTTGGGTTGGCCACCCCTCTACTCTATTGTACTTCTCCTTTGGCTTAATAAAATTTCCTTCAAATATATATATATATATATATATATATATATATGTATATATATATATATATATATAGGGGATGGTTCTAATAAGAATGATCCACAATGAAAGAAATAAGAATGAACAAGAGAGCTTGGATCTGATGTAATGGGTGGCTCCGATGCATTTATTTTTTCGCCTTAAAAATAGTAAGTAATCATTAGGTTTAACATTAATTAGTGGTATATTATCGTGTGGGGCAAATTTGGAACGTAAAAAAAAGCATTAGCACCCACAAAGTTCCAAAGATAATTAATACTCCATATGCCGCCGCTCACGCTTTTCTCTCGGAATATAACTCCTGAGTTTTCCAAACTTCATCATTTTTCTGGCGATGCACTTTAGAGTATTCACGGATATTGCCTAGAGAGAAATTAGTAAATCATACACTTTTGCACTTTGAAGGAAATTTTATGGCATCTGGGGAAAAGTGATGGAAGGCTTGATTATTCATTCCGATCAAAATAGAAGGTGCAAAGCACACACCAGATTAATATTTTGTGATTTTACTCAAATTTTAGTGGTTATTATTTACTTTTATTCAATGTTTTTTTACAAAACATATTCTGATTTTGTTTTCTTGGATTATGACAAACTGCCACAGCCATCGATTTAGTCCCTGTGAATGCTAAAATCTTTTTAGATGTTGCACTGCAATGACGGTGGTGAAGCCTTATATGTCTAGGAATCGAAGCTTCACAGTGATGCATTCTTCTATTCACAAAACTGCATCATGTAGTAGTATATACTTTCAAGGGTCTGGTCATGTATGCAGACTTTTTTTTGGTGATGTAAGGCATTCAATGGGGCCTTATTTTTGCAAATGTGTTCAAATATGTTCTCTACACTAAGTATTTTAGTTGTTTCTTCATATAATGTTGACATAGTTGTGTTGCAGGTACACACCTTTAAAGGCAAAGTTCCAATCTTGTATACTGCATTTAGCGAGTTCTCTGATGCACTCGGGTCTAAGTTGGAGTTGCCTTAGAGCACAACTCATGGGAAGAAGAGTTGATGATCAATCCTCATCCTTTAAATTAAGATGACTCATATCAAAATGGTTTTGAATTCAAATAAAGCGATACACCGCCTGATTTTTTAGATGCGTAGTTTTTTCCCAGTTATGCATCATAGCCACCCATTACATTAGAATGTATGTTCAGCGTTTCGTGCAACTTACTTATAGTTCTTTTGTTTTGAGATTGGTGTTGACAAATTTTTTACACACAATATATAAGGGTGTTGATGATGCATCAATGATTTTAAAATGAGCATGGGGGAGAAAGACCAAACTAGAACTAAAACATTGAAAATATACCAAAATAGGACTTTCATGTTTTTATTCCCGAAATAGGACTTACATTACCAAACATGATCATATACATTACCAAAAAAGTATAGTAATTTGCACATGTACACTGCCACATTACCACAATGCAAAGTCACATTACCACAGTGCAAGTCCTATTCCGAGAAAAAAACATGAAAGTCCTATTTTGGTACTTTTCTCTATGTTTTAGTCCTATTTAGTCCTATTTAGGATGATTTCGATAGAGCATAACTCTATGCTAATGATGCATGATAGTAATATTTAACACTCACGACTCATGCGAGTAAAAAGGAAAACATTTGCAACAAGAGATATTTGTATGCATGCGAATAGTATGAGGGATTTAAAATTATTTTAAGATAATGCATATTAAAGTATTGAAAAAAGATTGTAAAAATTAGGAATAAAAAATTTATTTAAGTTAAAATGAGAATAGAAATCACCATAAATAAGACTAAAACATAGAGAAAAGTATCAAAATAGGACTTTCATGTTTTTTTCCCGAAATAGGACTTTGCACTGTGGTAATGTGACTTTGCACTGTGGTAATGTGGCAGTGTAAATGTGTGCACATTATTATACTTTTTTGGTAATGTATATGACCATTGGTAATGTAAATCCTATTTCGGAAATAAAAACATAGATGTTCTATTTTGGTATATTTTCAATGTTTTAGTCCTACTTTGATGTTTCTCCCAAATGAGAACCAAAATCTGAAACAAAAGGATTATCATGCATTTTTCTAATATATTCATTCCTTTCATTTTCTTCTACTAATAAGAACCAAGAAAAGTGAAATGAGGACATGTTTATGTCATGTTTAAATCTTTTTGATACCCTTACATCAAGGGAAAAATCTGAGCAATATGAGGCACTCATGATACATTAAGTTGGTGTTGGATAGCATTTCCATGCATTATATGTTGAGTTTACTATCTAGATTTATTTTCAAATGCTAATAAACTCTAGAAAATAATTTGCTGGGGATTTTAATTCAGCCTTCATGACTTGGCTTGTTTCACAATGTATGACAAGACTAAGTTGACTAGTGAAAACCAAGAAACAAGTGCATAAAATAGAGTACTCAATAATCATGCATTATCTCTATTCAAAAATCAAAGGAAAATTACATGAAAAAACTGGTCCAGAGAGTAAAGCACGAGATATTAGAGCTATTGCTCATCAATCTCTTTACAAAAAGGGTTCACCAATAGTAACACTAGCCCACATTATTGTAGTTTGCCCCAATTTCCATCTAATATATTCATTCTTCAACTCTATTGCTAGGCTCTAAAATGGAGTTTAAAGATAAGAGACAAATAAAATAAAATACGGAGTAGAACGTAGACAAAAAATGGCGTAAACTAGAACAAAATTTTAAAATAAATTCTTTGTTATTGTTTCGATATTGCCCCCGACTAAAACTTCAACCGCTCTTCATCTCTTCAACAGCTTCTTCATCTAGCTCATCTTCAACATCCTAAAGTGCTCATCTTCAAACATAACCAAAAGCAATTACATGTGACCTTGTGCATTTTAATGGTGTATTGCTGCATAGGTACACCACATCCTTAATCATGTAATGTAATACACTTACATATAATGAACACGGCTTGGTTAAAACAATAAATTATAAAGAAATATCTAATTTATTTACCAAGTAAGCAAATAGAAGTTTACAATGAGTCTAATTTCTAATACACCCAATCATCATTATTGCAATACCAATCATACAAATATTTCACAAGAGGTCAATAACACCAAAATTTGTCGTCCAAAACTTAATTCCAATCAAGTACAATTTTGACAACACAAAGATCTGTAGTTTATACCTAATCCTATAATGTTTAACTAGACAGCATACAAATGCGTCAGACACGAAGGGAAGTGCACTACCCGTAATACACAATGCATTACAGTGAATGAAATATAAAAACAATATAAATATTGGACTACCATGATTTAGCAATGAAGTAACTACTGATTAATGTCCCTATGTTGAAAATCCAAGAATAGATGGACAAAAAACTTTGTCAATCAGTAAATCAAACCCCATCCACTAATGAACTCACAGATTGTGAAAAGCAGTGAGAAATCAAATTAAAGAACCTACCTGATTCCAAAGTAGATGGAGATGAATGCCTAATTCCATCAACAGTGTTACGAAATACTCTTTTAGTGGATGGAGATTAAGGCCTATTGTACCCTGATAACGGTTTAGTAATTCAAACCTCCATCGCTATTGATGGAACAACAAAAATAATCAAGAAACGAAATCGGTAAAGAAATTGGGATCAAGAAACCTCCATGGGTGTTGATGGAGAAACAGAATGAAGAAACGGGAGCCACAATTCGATGTGTTGTTTGAGGGCGTCAGAAGATAAGCTAAATTCTTGAATTTTATTCATGGAACCATGAAGATGCAGATGATCCCATACCTAGATAAGGAAAACGGAAACCGAAAGAAGAGAAAATCGTGAGAAGATTTTCCGGAGATGAAGAGTAGCGGATAAATAATAATTAAAGCAGTGTTTTAAAAATCCTAAAATGCCCTTGTGAAAAGTAGTAAGAAGGATGGGATGAGATCAAGATCCAAGGGTTATGATTCATTCTTATTTCTTTCATTAGATCTCATTCTTATTTGAATCAAAATATATATATATATATATATATATATATATATATGAAGGGCCGAAATTATATATATATATATTATTTTATTTTTCATCATTTTAATTATATGATAATTATTGATGTCAAAAATAAAATATGATATATTTCAAATATAGAATGACCGAAATTTCAAAAGGAAAAATCCAAGACCATTTTGATTTTATACATAAAGTATTTTTAATGTCAAATTGATATATTTGGTTATTATTTGATGTAGGGATTCTATTTTGTTTGGTAGCTAAGATATTAAACATTTACACATGTATATTAAACATATACATGGACTTATGCTTAAAATTAATTTCCTAGCAATTTCCTAAATATACTTTATTATAAAATGAGGTCTTGATTTTTAATACACACACCACAAAAAAAAGTTTCGGCCATCTCAAATAGTGAGAAGAAAAATCTTATTTTGTGTTCAAAGTTATTTTTCTAAAGTGTTAGAAATATACACAAAATATTATAAAGAAATATTTATGAGATAAATATTTTACTATATATTTATTTCTCCCAAAGTAGTATTATTATAGTTTTTACTATCCTATATTAAACTTGCTAGCACAAGTTTAATCTAGGACTTCGGAGCAAGTTCGTGTGGATACGTTGGAGGCTTCATACGTTTGGCGCTACGTTCATCTCCTCAAAACCATCCCCGACCGTTTCTCCGTTCTCTGTTTTCACCGTTAAGGTAAATTTCTTATTATAGCTAGTAATTTACGTAAGTTGTTCTTGGGTGGAATCAAGTTTTGGACTTTAAATTTTTGTTTTCCGCTGCGTTATCCAAGCCTCGTTTCCCAACACTGGTATCAGAGCCGGCTTACGAAGTTACTAGTTTAGTAGTTTTTACCGTTATCGTTTTTGTAGATTAGTCAATAAATTTTGGAGACAAAAATTTATCCCATTATAAAATTTAGTTAGGTGGCCATATTTAGATACTGGACCTAATATAATTTTATTTAGTAATTTTCGGAATTACTGTTTGGGGTATTTTTATATTATTCTTATTAAGTAGCTTATGTGTAGAATACTTGTTATTTGTGCCATAAACACTTAATATTTATGAAAATTTGATTTTATATTTTCTGGGATGTATTTGACATGTCAATATAACTCAGAAATTTTAAAATCGATTTTTGGAATTAATTTCCTATTTTTCTATTTCTAAATTCGTTTATTGAATAGAAAATAGGAAAACTTATTTTTGACGATCAAAAATTAATTTTAATTCAGAATAAGTTGCTACCAGAGATTTTAAGCTTGTATAAAAATTTTCGTAATTTTTAAGCACGTAAAAGTATTTATTTTGTATTTTTGAAGTAATTGGATCGGTACTATTCACTAGTCCGATTTTTAATTATTTTAAATTGCAAAATTAATATTTTAAATTCTGGAAAAATCATATTCTGGTTCTGGAACTTATTTTTGACTTAAAAATAAATTTTTATGTTTTTGGAAATTCGAAATATATTTTCACAATATCATTTCGGTTTTCTAACTATAAAAAAAAATGGTTTTCAAAATTTTAAATTTTATTCATTCTGGAATTTTTGGATTTCCAGATTAATAAAGTTTACTGGGAGTCTCCAATAACTATTTGCTAATTTAGAAAACATATATGTTGGAAAACGTTTTCACTTTGACATTTGGCTAATGACAATGTTTGTTGCCGTTTAGGTTTTGATATTGACAAACCGTCGGGAACATGGAACAAAATGAAAAGATTCAAAGAGATAGAAAAAGTTCTTTGAAGAAACAAAAAGCACAAGAAAGACATTGACGCTGCTAAAGATGACGACATTGGCGCTTTGAAGACGTATTCTAAATACTTAGGTTTTTATTGTAACAAGCTCATTCAATTTCTCTACGTCATGGCTCAAAACAAAATATGTTTTTCATGCATCAAATGAGTGTTTTCATAAATGGTTTTTAAGTTTCTAAAACCCATGGTTCTTGCTTAACCAAAACCATAACGATCGGTTATCGGCGTTCGGCTATGGCGTTCGGTTTTCGGCATTGGTTATTGGCATTGATTTTAACCAAATGGTTTTTAAGTTTTTATCCTTGGTTTAAGCTTCTGGACACATTAAAAGGTTTTCCAAATCATTATTTTTCAAAAACCATAACCTTTGTTTTTTCGGCGTTGGTTATCGGCATTCACGCTGATTAACGGCGTTGGTTTTGGCGTCCAAATCAATCAAGTGGTTTTTAATATTTTATGATTTTTTTTTACTTATGGACATATCCAAATGGTTCTCCAACAAAAACATGTTAAAAACCACCTTTCGTTTTTGGTCTTTTGGTGAAAACCATGTGAAACGGCATAAACTTGGCTAGCCGTGGTTTTTACCTTAATGAAGTGGTTTTTAAGTTTTTATACTTGGTTTCTACATAAAATACATTTTGTATGAGTTTCCAACACTTGGTTTTCATTTTGGAGAACTTTGGTTTTTGACATCGGTTTTCGGCGTTGGCTGCCAAACCATGGTTCTGGCAAACCATCCCAACATGCATGTCGGAAATCCCAACAGCGATGTTGGCCTTCAGAAGCCCTGGGCAGTAAGTTTTTGAACAGCGATGTTCATGGTTGAACAGCG